CTGCTGGACCTTGTCCCGCCCATCCGCCCGCGGGCCTTCTCCATCGCCTCCTCCCTGCTGGTGAGGCCCCCGGGATGGCAGGGTGGGTCTGTGGGGTTGCGGGCAGGAGTGTGCTCTGGCCGAGGATGCCTGCCTGGGACTGCCTCGGTGACACGGCAGGCTTGAGGCAGGCAGAGGCCCCCCCCCAGGTACACCCCTCGCGGCTGCAGATCCTCGTGGCCGTGGTGCGGTACCAGACTCGCCTGAAGGAGCCCCGCCGGGGCCTCTGTTCCTCCTGGCTGGCGTCCCTGGACCCCGGGCAAGGTGACCCTGCTCTTGGGGGCATCTGTGGCCTTTGACTCCCATTCTCCCCGGGCCTGTGCGGGCAGGCGCTCAGACCGTCCCTTAGCCTCTGCTCGCCACCTTCTTCTGCAACAGGACCTGTCCGGGTGCCCCTGTGGGTGCGGCCTGGGGGCTTGACCTTCCCGGAGACTCCAGACACTCCTGTGATCATGGTGGGACCCGGCACTGGCGTGGCCCCCTTCCATGCAGCCATCCAGGAGCGCGTGGCCCAGGGCCGGACCGGTGAGCACAGGAGACACGGGGCGGGGTCACACTCCACGATGGCCCAGCCAAACCTGGCCAGACTTGAGACCACCCTGCATCTCCCCAGGAAACTTCCTGATTTTTGGCTGCCGCCGGCGGGACCAGGACTTCTACTGGGAGGCGGAGTGGCGCGACCTGGAAAAGAGGGGCTGCCTGACCCTGGTCACCGCCTTCTCCAGAGAACAGGTGGGTGGTGCTGGGGGTGGAGAGGAGGGAGGGGCTCAGACTTAGTCCCGCCCTCGCCCTGCAGCAGGAGCAGAAGGTGTACGTCCAGCATCGGCTGCGGGAGCTCGGGCCCCTCGTGTGGGAGCTGCTGGACCGCCGGGGAGCCCACTTCTACCTGGCAGGGTGAGCTGGGCCCCAGGGGGCGGGTGGGGGCCGCGCCCAAGAGGCCGACCTCACCCCGCCCCCGTGGCCTGCCCCTAGCAACGCCAAGCACATGCCGGCCGGTGTCTCGGAAGCCTTGGAGTCTGTCTTCCAGGAGGAGGGGGGGCTCTCCGGCTCCGACGCGGCCGCCTACCTCGCCAGGCTCCAACGGACGCCGCGCTTCCAGATGGAGACGTGGGCCTGAGGAGCAGCCCTCGCCCACTCTGACGGCGGCCTCCCGGGGCCCGCAGAAGGGCATCCAGAGGGAAGGCTAGCGGATGGGCCCTGGCCATCGGCCCGCTGTCGGGACAGCCAGCTCTCTGCGCGGACACAGGCTGCTGGACCCCTGGGGACTGTCCTCTCAGCCCTGACCCACTGCAGCTCCCACCGCAGCTGCCCCTGCCCAGCCGGCCCTCTCCTCCCCATCCTGGCCCGGCTCTGTGTCCGTGACCCCCAGCCCATCCTGGGCCAGGTGGCACCCTGGCTCACACCCTCACACAGTTGCCACCCGGGAGGACCGGGCCCTGCTGAGCCCTTGCGGGCCGCTCTGCCCCCTCCTCTGCCTAGGCCACCCCAGTTGCTCTGCGGCGACTTGCAGGTCCGCCACGCAAGTCCGCCACGTTCAGTCACGCCAGACACCCTCAGGGCTCGGGCGTGGGTGGAGGTGTTGAGGACCTGGGGGCGGCTGTGCAGCCCCTCCCCGCCCCTGGAGAGCCGTGGCAGTAAACTGGCCTCTGGGCACCTCCAGCGTGTGCTTTCTTCCTTGGCTCGACTCTTCCTAGTGCCGTGGCTGGTGCTGGGCACGACCAGGCTCACGGACCTTCTGCAGGGGTGCTGAGCGTCAGCTGCTGTGTGCGTCGCAGGTGCTGTGTGTACTGGGCACCGTGTGTGTACGCTGGTTGCTAGTGTGCCAGGCAGTGTGTGCTGGGAGCTGGGTGTGCGTGTGTGTGTGTGCATGCACACACATGCTGGGTGTCATGTGTATGTGTGCACGCACACACCAGCTGAATGCTGTGTGTGTGTGTGTGTGTGTGTGTGTGTGTGTGTGCTGAGTGTCGTGTGTGTGTGCGTGTGTATGCCTGCTGGGTGCCGTGTGTGTATATGTATGTGAGTACATGTACGCCTGCTGAGTGCTGTGTGTGTACATGTGAGTGCCAGGTGTGTATGTGTGTGCTGAGTGCCGTGTGTGTGTGTGTGCGTGTATGCGTGTGTGCGCGCGCACACAGTCACACCAGGCACGGTGGTCTGTGGCTTCACCACTTTGCCAGCAGGTAGTCTAGTGCTAACGTGGTAGAATCGTCTTTGCTGCCTTGTGCTTATGGGCTGGGAGGGAGTCGGCCAAGCCACTCCTGGCCCAGAGTCCTGGTGGTTGCTGGGAAAACCCCGGTGGGGCCTAGACTAGCCACCCTTCCCTGCCCCCAGGAGCCTCAACTGCAGGGGGGAGGGAGGGGTGCGGGGGGGGGGTTGCGGTGGGGCATATCCCGCCCCTGGGTGGGGCTGTCGAGCTGGGAAGGGAAGTCCTGGTGGAAGAGCCGGTGGAGCCGCCCATGTTGCCGCCACTGCCGCCGCTGAGTCTGTCGGTGGGTCGCTGGCTTGGGGACCGGACGTGGCCGAGTCTGGGCTCGGCCAAGCTGGCTGCCGACGTCCCAGGAGCCTCCCAGAGCTGCCCACACTGCTGGGGCCTCCACTGGGCCCAGGAGCCTCCCAGAGCTGCCCACACTGCTGGGGCCCAAGGGAAGGTTGCCTACCGTGGGAAGGCCTACCGTGGAGGTCAGTGCCCAAGCCCGGGGGGGCCCAGATCCAGCCACCCCTGAGCCCTCCACTGGCATCACGACCCTGGCTGCCCCTGCTGGCACCCTGGGGTCCCCACCCTCCAACCCTGACTCCGGCCGCGGGGCCACCGCCCCTGAAATGGGCCCCAGGGCCTTCACCCTCGGCCCGGCCGACTCTAGCTCTGGGTCGGCCGGTCCACCGTGGCCCTCTCTGGGTCCTGAGTGTCAGGACCCGCCGGACCAACTGCCAGCAGGTGAAGGGGGTGACCTGGAGACCGCCCAAGGTGCCAGGAGTCCGGACAGCAAGCCCCTGCTGGGGGCCACAGCCACAGTGGGCGTCCAGGCCCTGCCAGCCAGGGAGGAGGCGAGGGCAGAACAGTGGGGGGAGGAGGACAAGGAGGAGTGCCCCGTCTGCACGGAGCCCTACGGGCAGGGCCAGCAGCGCCTGGCCGCGCTGAACTGTGGCCACAGCCTGTGCACAGGCTGCCTGCACCGGCTGCTGGGCACGACCCCGGGCGCCGACCTGGGTCGGGTGCGCTGCCCGCTGTGCCGCCAGAGGACGCCCGTGCTGGAGTGGGCGATCTGCCAGCTGCAGGAGGAGCTGCTGCGGGCCGACAGGCCCCCCTGCCCACACCCCTGCGCAGCCCCCGT